GGTCCTTGGGGTCCCTTCCAACCCCAGCCATTCTGTGATTCTGTGATGAACTTGGGATATAGATGATCAGTGTGTATCAGTAAAAAGACACGTGCTGTGTGTCTGAAGCAGTGTTGTGGGCTTGCTGTTCCTCAGGCATTTCACTTGTAAGCCCTTGAAGTGGGATTGTTGGTCACTGCTTTAAAAACAGCAGGGGGAATGGAGTAAACATAACTGTAGATGGGAGCAGGCAGAGCTGGGTCTGTGAGCTCTGTGTGGCTGCAGGAGCTTTTTGCACGTGCTGTCAGTGCTTTAACCCTGCACTGTTTGGCTGTGTGTACAAATTGTGGTGATTCCTGTTCAGAACCCACAGAACCTGTGGTGCAGGGGGAGACAGAGGCAGTTACTGCAGTGCATGGTGTTGGTGCTGCTCGTGGTGTGCAGGCGGCTGCGCTGTGGGGTTTTCTGTTCCATGCCCTGCAGAATGTGATACTGATTTAAATCCTCATCTGATCCATATCAAACAGTCCTTAACTATTTCACCACATGAAAACCACAGGAAAGTGGGTGAAATGCACGAGAGTTCTTGCATTGCCCCTACTGATTTTGTTATGCTCTTGAGAGTAGAAAAGAGAACTGGCTAACAAGAGATGTGAAATGTATTTTCTCAGTGGCTTTGTATGTGTGCTCATCTGAAAGCAGTGCCAGGCTCTGGCTTTGCCTGGTGGTGCTTGATCAAAATACACACTTAGGGACAGCGTGAGTAAATTCCTCATGAAAGTCATGGCATGAAATGCACTTTTCTTAGAACACGTGGGTAGCTGAGCTTTCAGCCTAGCTGTTGTACAGTTTGAGATGCTGAGAAGTGCAGGCTTGCTTTGGAGGCTGTTTTGCAAGGAAACAAGGCTGCTCAGGGGAACATTATGAAGCCTTTTGTTGTGTGTGAGCTGCCCTACATCTCATGGTGCTGAGCAAGGCCAGGTCTGTGTGCTGCAGATGAGGAGGAGGGGTTGGGGGGTCTTGCAGTAGATTTCTGCTTTCCTGCGCTTGGCTGACCCTGCAGGGCTGTGATGGAGGAGCAGAAGCACAGAACAAAGCCTGTGGCCCTGTGGCTGGGCAGTGGGCAGGTTGTGGTGCTGGCATGGGAGGCAGTGGGGGAGGCAGCCTCGTGTTCTGTGGGAACCAGACTTTTCAGTGTAGCTGCCTCTGTTGGCTGCATTTATTCAGTTAGCAGCAGTGCTTGGGCTCGGTGCTTGTTTTTCACAGGACAGTGGTGATCTGTGTTTTTTCCTCAATCTATTAACGGAGTTCGCGGGGCAGAAAGTCCCTTCTGCCTGACTGAGTGCAGTTGTTAATGATTTAGTGAACTCACCTCAGCCTCCTGCAGAGCCATTGCAGATCGATGACTGCTGCTGGAAGCGTGGCTTTGTTGGTCAAGCTGGGATAACTTCATTTCATTTCTGCAAGACCATAAAGAGAAGCACCCTTCCAGCCCCTATGATGGCAGAAGTGAGCTGAGCTGTCAGTGTCTGCATTCTCCTGTTCGTCCCCACATTCCAGAGTGATTCCAGACATGAGTTTGCTTTGGCTGTGAAGAGTGCATCAGTGCTCAGCATCTGTGCTCTTGCAGCCAAACCTGGCACCGCGGCTCTCTGTGCTTACATTTGTGATGGACATCACCTCCAGGATTTTCACACAGCAGGACTCACAGGGCATTGCTCTTTCTGTCAGAACTTGAAGGCCGGCACCGACTCGGAGCCCCAGGGAAACGTTAGAAGGTCACTGCCCAATATAGTGTGGCACAGGGTCAAGTCTGAGATGGTACTTTTTGCTGCTGTGTCTTTTTTAGTTATTGCTGAGGCCTGCAAGGCGCCATTGACCCAGTTCAGCTGAGAGCTCTGTGAGGCTGCAAGCAACGATGAGCCCAGTGGTTTGTCTGGTCTTTTTGTGCTAATGAGGCTGTGGCTTTCTGAGGCTGGCTTCAGACATCCTGGTCCCAAAGCTGTGCTCTGTGCTGATCCCTACCAGCAATGTGTGGGCTGTTACCTGCTGCCGTGGGTGGCTCTACAGAGGAAATGCATCCTATCCTGTCTTTTGCATCAAGGGTGCTTGGATGATGTGCCGGGGCATCCCGTGTTTCCAGTCTGCTGTGCTCTTACAGGTGAACACGGAGCTGTTTTCCCTTGTTCTGCAGCTGGACCAAATGCTGGAGCTAAAAATTAACTTCCTGCGAGCGTATGTTTTTGTTTCAGTCTTCCCTCCCCTTGCAGGATTGCTGACACTTGCATACCTGACAGCCCTAGAGCTTTGGAACAGTTGGGTTAAACTTTTCCCACAGCCTCAGCTCCCCGTGGGAGCCGTGCTGTGCTCAATGGCAGTACCTGGTGTGTGCTGCTCCAGCAGTGCTCTGATAGATGTTGGTGTGGCTGCAGGAGGGAGACATCGCCTTCCTCACTCCGTTCCTGGAGTCTTACGCCGCTTGAGGAGAGGATAATGCATCTACACTTGGAATGAAGGATATGATCTATCAGAGTGCACCAGTCTCTGCCTGAACCCATCAGCTACTGCAGTCTGGCCATGCCTGTGCATACAATGGGAGGTGATGGCAGAATTCCCTGCAGGTTCTGCACGCTGGAGTACTGGAGCTCACAGCCACGCACGTGGATCAGCAGCTCCAGGACAAAGCTCTCGCTCTGTCCTTGCTGGAAAGGCATGGAGCAGAGTGGGCATTCCCAGGTGACTTGTTGATCAGCCGCACCACGCTGTGTGCTAACCACTGCTTACAGGATCAGCTCTAGGTGAATTACAGGAGCCAGCACACATGCTTCTTGTCATTGCATCTTCTCTGGAAGACCCTCTCATAGAAGTGGTGCAACCCAAACCAGAAGCAGGCACCTCTGAACGCACAGAGGAAGGAACCGCTGTCGCTCCTGTGATGGGATGACTGCTCGTGCTGCTGTCACTTGCTGTTCCTTTCCAGTCCACTAACAGAATTCTGAAATATTCTTGTCTCCTGGAAAGCATTCAAGTATTCTGTTTGCCTGAAATTGTTCCCTTCTGCATGGGAAACAACCACAGCGTTGTGCAGCTCTCGTCTGTGATGGGAATGCTCTGTTACCCCGGGTTTTTTAAGACAATCTTTGATTATCTTAGCACTGTGTGCTTGAAGACACTGATTGCTTCCCATCATACAGAGGCACATGAAGCCAGAAAGGCCCGTGCTGATGAGCTGCTCATTGTATGAAGTGCTCTGCTTTACTAAAGCAGGTGTCTTCCTTTGCCCTTCTTCTTTTCCCTCACCAACCATGATGTGAAACCTTTAATTGTGCTCTCGTGTTTCTTAGCATGTTTATATTTGGAGTTATTGCCCTGCATCGTTTTGGAGCACTTCAATTCTCTTCCAGTGAAAAAGTGCTTTCCATTCCAACAACTGATGAACAAAATCTGTCCTAAAGCTTAAGAAACTCAGGTTTTACGGTAGGTTTTCAGGGCTTGGAGCTGTTGTTCTTTCTGCAGATGGTCAAAACTTGCAGCGCTGTGGTGATGGTGGTGTCCCTGGAGCTCTCCCTTGCACCCAGGGTGAAATCCCATCTTGTGCTCAGTTGGCTCTGTGCTTTGTGGTGGTTTTCTGTGGAGCGTGTGTTTGAATGCTGAAGTCAGGATGAGCCATGGCTGCTGCTCTGCCCATATTCACAAACCCAGTCCTGCTGTCAGAAGCTTGCTGGCTGTGGGTATCCCATGCTGATGCTCCCACTTGTGTCTCTTGGCTGCTCTCCCGTGCACAGAAGACTTGCTCCATGACTTTGCTGGAACCAGGATGCCAGCCGGCCTGCGTGGCCCTCTTGGTTTCTATTGAGGATGGTTTGCTGGCCTGCTCTTCTTGGAATTCTCAGCCTCTGTTCGGCTTTGGCTCTCCTGACACCAAGTGCTCTGTTTCTGATCTTCATTCTCTTACAGGCCGCTGCTTTTTCCATCTCCTGTGTGCTGGTTGTTTGCATAGCAGCTGTGCCACGAGTTCCCTGCTCAGCCACGCAGCCCTTCTGACACTCCCACTCCTTTTCCCACATTAGGCCCTGTTCTTGTAGGCTTCAGCAGGCAGTCTTCCCAGGCCTTAGCATCCAGTGCTGCCTTCCAGACCCGATGAGATAATGCTTTGAAAACACTTATTTCTGACTAAGCCTCCAGTGCCTGAGCTTTGGGACCTGCTTGCCAGCCACGTGCTGGGAAGTGTGAGATGATGAAGGCCATTTCTGGCATCCGTTGCCCAGCTCACCCTGCAGATCCCTTCATCCATATGAGCTGGGTCTGCATGGAGCTGTGCAGCCTCTGCTGTCCCAGGGCGCAGCTCCATGGAGTCAGCGTGCATCATCACTGCTTGTTCAGGCCTCCATTCCTCTTTGAATTGCTAGCTTTCATTTTCTTTAATTCACCAATTTAGTAAGCAGCGGCCAGGAACACTTGAGGAAATGAGCTCAGCAGTTGCAGAGGTAACTTCTCCATATGAAGATGGGTGTGTGGTGGGACAGAGGTTGAGGATGAGCTGTGGCCTTGGCTGCCATGCCCACCTCCCTTCAGATTCATTGCACCGCATGCGTTGTTTTCCTCTCAGCCGTCATTACCAGAGCTCTTTCCAATGGGAGTGGATTTCTCCCAATGGGGTCGGCAGTTCCCAAGTCCTCTTCATTTTCTCACCAGCTCAGGGTGCCCACAGGAGTCCGATGTGGCAGCACTGTGAGCCGAGTGCAAGGCAAACAGCAGCTGCTCAGCACTTTGCTGTGCTGTGCCAATGTCTGCTGAGCAGCAGGGCTGTGCTGGCATCACCTGCGTGCAGAGGAGATGAAACACGGGGATGAAGGAGAAGCTTCTGCGTTGTGTGATTCCATCTGGGTGTAGCACTCCCACCCCCTTCTCATTTCTGTGCTGGTCAGAGAGAAGCCATCAGTTTCATTTAGCGACGGCTTCTTTTTAGTTTGGAAACTGGATTTCTGGAGCTGAAGGCTGCCCTAGCAAGGCCAAGGGATGCACTGCCCTGAAAGCCCAGCTGGGTGCTGTCTGCTGACTGCTGTTCTGTCCACCTTGGCTTCTGTCCCTGCCCTCTCTTCTCGCAGGGTGTTCTGATCAGGAGTTGTCATTGAGGAGTGGGAAAGGTGCAGAGTTGTGCTCAGGTGAAGGTAGTAAAGAAAAGACATGGGGGATGTGGTCACTGTCTGGGTAACTGGGGGGTGGGCAGCAGGAGGGGTGAGCACGTATAAGCTGGAGGACAGCATTCTCACAGGAACGAATGGGTATGAAGTAAATAGGGATAAACTTGGAGCCACTTTTGGAAAGGCAGAGCTTTGGAGGGGGATTTCTAGGATGTGCTCTCAGATTGGAGGTGCTGGGGTGAAAGCCCCGTGGATTTCCCTCCTTGTTTGGGGGGGGGGCAGTAGGTACAGTGTAACTGCAGGGCTTTGGCCTGGGTGGTGACTTTTGGTCCCCTGTATCCACAAGCATGGTTACGTGTGTATGGCATAAAAACCAAAGTAGCTTAGCCTGCCTTGTCACTGATCTCAGACTGTGCATCAGCACTTAAGCCATCCAAGGCTCTGCAGGACAGCTGCTGGCCAAGGAACAGCAAATTCTCCCCATGTTCTGGGGACTGAATGCAAGGAAGCAGAGCAGGACCTGCTCTGTTCACCTGCTCTGTGCTGAGGCCCAGAACTGTGAGGGCAGCTTGGCAGGGCGATGCTGCACTGAGGGGTGCAGACAGTGCTATGGGAGCAGCTCTCCTCGCCCGGGGATGTGGCCTGGATCTTTAGGGGCTGCTCACAGAATTGGGACCCAGTTCTGCTGATGTGGCTTTTGTCAGAAGCTGGGGCTGCGATACCCTGCCTATGGAGCGAGCCCTGCGCACCATCTCTGCGTGGTGTGGGCTCCCTCTTGGGCTCATCTTTGTTTTCTTAGGTTACTATGCTTGGCTCCATGTGATGAACGTGTTTCTAATTGATAAATAATGCATTTTCTTAATTAGGAGAAAAAAAACTCAGATAAGCAATTGTGGGCTAACCATCTGTGACTGGGATTTCAGAGCTGTACCTCACCACAGTGTGCATTTCCTGTTCCATTTGCTGAAGTCATCTGTAGGTCTGTAAAGGAGGAAGGCCTAGAGGGAAGATCTGAGATCCTCTGTTGTGTTTGTTTGTGTGGCAGTTCAATATCAGAGTAAATGTGTGTCAGGAAGGTTTGCTCTGTGCTGGTGGAGGTGTTTTGATGCATGGTGAGAGGGCAGGGTGCTGCTCCTGCACGAGGGCCTGGCTTGGCATGGATTTGGCATCTTTCAAAAGCGAGTGTGGCAATTAACAGGGGCTGTTTATACAACGAAATGGGCGACGTGGCGTTAATTGGGTTTAGATG